AATACAAGGAGGTTAACAGATCTATTGTTTGAGTCTATTATGAGGTTTAAAGGTAATATGTGTAAAGCACATGTCTTTCACAGAGTAGGTGCTTAGTAAATGCTAACTAAAGTTACGAGGGATGCACTGTCAAAGCTTACTGGCTTTTAGGTATCTTTTAAGAGGTTGGTTGCTTATCCTGAAGCCCTCATAATTTGACTCTTTACTATATGACTTCCTTTGCTGTTTATCATCACTTAAATTAGTTCTGAGTGACCTTAGGTTATAAGCATTTGATAAGGGCCCATCTGACTATTCAGCATTCAACAAATATTTACTCTTCCAAGTACAATTCTGATACTAGGAATATGGCAATAAACAAAACAGGCAAAAGTATATGTCATCATGGGGTTTATAATCTAGTGAGGAGATGCAGACAATAAAAAGTAGTAAGCATAATAAAATAAGTATATTATACATTCGAATGTTTTCACTTATGAACAAAAAAGGATATGGTGACTGGGAATGTGGAGTCCAGGGGAGGTGAAATTTAAATGGGATGGTCAGAAGCCTGCCTCATAGAGATGACATTAATAGACTTGGAAGAGGTGGGGGAACAAGACATGCATAAATCTGGGAGAAGACTATGTCAAGTCACAGGGAACAGCCAGTGAAAAGCCCAGAGGCAGGAGGAGCGTACTTGGTATGTGAGGAAGAGTGACGCTGCTTGTATCTGGAGAAGAATAAATGTGGGCAGAATAGAAGGAGATGCCATCAGAGGTTTGACAGAGCTCACTTAAGGCTTTAAAAGCCCTTGTAATGACTTTGACTTCTTAGTGGCAGAGTAACCAGTGACAAGATCTGATTTACATTTTAACAGGAGCACTCTGGCTGCCCTGTTGAGAATAAAATAGTGGGAACAGGGAGGCTTACCCAATAGAAAATGGCTTGGACCAGGGTGATAGCAGTGAAGGTGCTAAGAAGAGGTCAGGGCCTAGATATGTTTGAAAGACAGCCAATATGCTGATAGACTGTGAGGTGTAAGAAAAACAGAATTGTTAAAGATGACTTCAACGTTTTTGCCAGAGCAACTGGAAGGATAAATTTACCATTAACTGAGGTGGGGAACATACGACTGAAGCAGGCTTGGACACACTAAGTTCAATAAATATATTAGACATCTTAAGAGATGTCAAGGAGGCAGTTGAAGATGTTAGTCTGGAGTTTGGGAGAATAGGCTACAGATAGTAAACTGGGAGTCACTTTCATAAAGATATTAAAGCTAGCAGACTGGATAAAATCACAAAGGAACTGCGTATAGACTAGAAAAAGAAGAGCTCTAAGCAAAGGAGAGCCCTGGGGGATTCTAATGTTAAAAGAAGGGGGACAAGCCAGGCCTGGTAGCACCAGCTACTCTGGAGGCTGAGGCGAAAGGATCACTTGAGCCCAGGAGTTCGAGGTTACAGTGAGCTATGATCGTGCCTGTGAGTAGCCACTGCACTCCAGCCTGGGCAACACAGAGATCCTATCTCTAAAATAAAAAAATTAAAAAAAGAAAAAAGAAGAAAAAAAGGTGGGGAGTGGAGATGGGGAATCAGCAAGGAGACCAAGAAGAAACTCCCAGCGAAGAAAAACGAAAACCAGGAGTATGTTGTGTCTTTGAGGCCTAGTTAAGATGGGAGGACGTGATCAGCCTGTCAAATGCTACTTGATAGAGTAAGATGACTGAGAAGGGACCTTTTGTTTGACAATGTGGAAGTCACTGGTGATCTTGACACAAGCAGTTCAGTGGTGTGGGCAAAAGCCTGGGCCCTAGTTTGATCAAGAGTGGCAAGAGAGGAACTGGAGAAGTTTCCTCTTTGAAGTTTTATGAAAGGGAAGCAGAAAACTGGGGCATAGCTAGAACCGTCAAGAGAGGATTTCTTTTGCTTTAAAGATGGGAGAAATAAGAACATGTTTGTATGCTGAAGGGTTTGTCCCAGTTGAAAAGAAAAATGTGATAATGAGGAGAAGAGAAAGAAGCACAGATGGTATCTACCAACAGTCCTTTACAGTAGATCCTATTAATATCTTCAGATAGATAGGCTTACATACATGAGACGAAATCCAACACATTCAGTTTTCTTGGTAAGAAGAGCATTTACTGCTACTAATTCAGGGAATGAGGCAAGAAGGAATAAAAATCTCTGTTTTGTAGATAAGGAACAAGTTTAGATGACATTAAAGATTATACTAAGCTCTTGGAAAACAACAGATTTTAAAGTTACTTGGTTTGGGAATAAAAGTTGTGATTATTTTGAACATCTGACAGTCTCCCACGAAGATACTTTTAGCATTGCCTAAATTCATCCCTTTATGTTCTATATTTAAAACTCAGCTGTAGTGTTACACATCAATTTCTATTTTATGCCCTTAAAATATATAGGTCTCCATCAGTTTTCTCAACCTTCTTTTAACCCATATCCCTATTTGAAAAACTGTACCTCTCCCTTCCTTTCCTCCCAACCCATCCCCACCAGCTGAGACTCACTGGCCCATAGACTATAAATACCAGGCTGCTCAGATGCTGATAATGCTGCTCTCACACCTCCAAATGAACCTTCAGGATAAGAGAATCCCAGCCTTACCAAAAGCATTATTTTTCTAGGCTCAGGCAGAAAGTTATCAATGGTGATGTTTCAAGAAAAAGTTTAATCTGAAAACTAGACCTAATTTTATGATACAACTTGATGCAGAAAAATCTGTCATTTTTCTAAGTGCATGCAATTGGTTATCTGGAATATACAGTCAATTTTACCAATTTATAGAGTAATGATGTGCATATGTATATTCTTAAATCAGAATCTTACTGTGTGTGATAGTAAAGGTCACAGATAATTACGACTACAAAAATACTCACTGGGTTTCAACGAACAATTTGTTTTCTGTATCTCAAGATAATGAGTTCTTTATTCTGTTTTAAAATCCAGTCTATGAATAGAATCTGAGTGCTGAAACTTACATACTATATCGTACTATTTATTGGTCTAATAGGTGGTATCTCTAAAATTTCAGTGGGAAAATGACTCGCAGGACTGCATTAAAATGCAGATTCCTTTGGGAAACTACCTATCAGGTCCTATGCTTATTACCTAGGTGACAAAATAATCTGTAAACCGAACCCCCATGACATACAATTTACCATATAACAACCCTGCACATGTACCCCGAACCTAAAAGTTTAAAAATGCAGATTCCGGGACCCCACCTCCAGATATTCTAATACAGTGGGACTGCAGTGGTGCCCAGGAATCTGCATTTTCTACAAGTGCCCTCATGGAGGTGATGTATTAGTTAAGACTTAAAGGCAGTGAGGAAATGAGACATGAGGTGCTATAGAAAACACTGCTCAAAGGGTTTCCCTGATGTTCTAGTTTCAGGTCCCAGATAAACTATTTCTTATGGGATGAAACAGCCCACTGGGGAGAACCCTAGAGTATTGGTCCACAAATCCTTGGTTCTCAAAGGCTCCAATTCTGTAGTCAGAGAAGGACAGTCCTTGCTTGGGCCTATATATACTGACCTCGCAAGGCTGTAGAAAAGGCCTATTGCAACTCCTAGCCTGTACAAAATACCTACTTCATCTTTTGGTAGAGTGCTTCTTTCTGATTATCAATCCAAATACTTCTCAAAGACATCTGTGGTCCTATGTAAAGTGTACTTCTCCAGAGGGCTGGAGGTCACAGATGTAGTCATTGTCAAGTTCTTTTCCACACTGCTCCATCCATGCATTATTTAATGTAATGCAACATAACATTACAGGCCTGGTGGCCCACACCTGTAATCCCAGCCCTTTGGGAGGCTGAAGAGGGAGGATGGCTGGAGCCCAGGAGTTTGAGACCAGCCTGGGCAACATAGTGAGACGTTGTCTCTACAAAATTTTTAAATCAGCCAGGTGTGGTGGTGCACACCCATAGTCCTAGCTACTCAGGAGGCTGAGGCAGGAGGATTGCTTGAGGAGTTTGAGGCTGCAGTGAGCTATGACCTTTCTTTTTTTAATTGGAGAGATGTTTTCTAATGCTAGATGCTGTGAAAGTGGCAGTGGTGCCTTTAACTGCTTCTGAAGGCAACTATATTTCCTTCGTGACTGATATTTTTTCTTAAAAAAAAAAGGCAGGGAGGTAGAGTGTTAACTGAATTCTCTGTCAAATTAAGAGTAAAAATTATTTTCTGTAGCTCTCTACTTATTAAAGCACCACCATTAATGTTGGCATCGGCTACTTATTGAGCACCTACTATGTAGTCTTCTAGAGGTGGAAAGGAATTTAAAAATATATGGCATAGTTCCTGCCCTTGAGGGGACTCGCATTCTTACTGGGAATATATGACAAACACATAAAAAGATAATAAACAAGTTACACCACAAGAAGTCACAAAAAGACGAAGAGACTTAAACTGGGTCTTAAGATTGGCAGAGACAAAGGAACTATAGAAAGGGCAAGAAGCAAGAGTGAGGCTGGGCAAGGTGCATGGCTGACTGGGAAACGGTAAAAACCCAGTTTACTTGAGGTAAGTCAGTTCACCTAGGACTCTGAAAAATATGAGATGGTAGCCAGAAAGAAAGAGCCTACTGAAGAGCGCAAGCCTTGGATGTCAAATCAAGAAGTTTGGAATTTCACTGTAGACAAGTTAGAACAGAAGAGTTTCACAGAAAGCAATATTTGGGAATACTGTGTTAGAGACATGCAGGATAGATGGGAGCAAAGAGTGCTTGGAGGCAGTTAGAAAGCCACCGGAAAACTCCAGGTAGCAAGTGATGGGGACTCACCTGGAGAGTAAGTAGCAGCGTTAATTATTACTAGTTTCATAAGCTAGTTTCATGAAATATAACTCAATTATTTTGGAGTTATGCTACAGATGTAGCATCAAGATTTTTCAGAGGATGCTACCAAAATAAAATTGGTGAGGTGTGTGATAGTTTTTAAACCTGTCTAGTAACTGATAATTTTAGTGATAAACTGAAGATGAAAGGAATTTTATTGTGTTGACGTTTTATTTAATAGGTTGTGACTTCTGTAGTATTTCACTTTCCATGTCCAGTCGATTTGGCATTGTGCTTTCAAGCACTGCCATTCTGATAATAAGAGAAAAATCTAATTTCAAATGCATTCATTAACTTCAGGGAAATGAAAATCTTAGCTTAAACTTAAATACTGGCAACTCAAAAAACTTGGCAGTGATCCTTTATGTGTTCCAGACAACTACTGTTCAAAATGCAGTAGGTGAGTTCCTAATTTGTCATCAGACAAGAAGAAAACTTGTTAACACTTAGAAGTGAACCTTTGCCTATTTTATCAACAAACGCTTCAATAGAGGAACAGCTTCTGAAGACACCAGTTTGAGTACCAAGACTGTGAATGAACAGAAACCAAATACCCCTAATTTACTATAGGGAACTGCCTGAGAATAAAGACAAATTGTTTAAACCCAATTTTTTTTCTATTATAAATCTGATGTTTGGGGCATATCAAGGATGCTGACCATCTTAGACATATCCATGTGGAAACACAGCACATTTGATCACCCCATAGCCAGGCAGGCCTCGTTCGTTGCAATTTGATTCCTCTATCTGAGCCGTTAAAAGCTTGGTTTCTTTACCAAATAGGAAAACAGTCAAGGAATGCAATCCTGAATTTTCACTTTGACCTGCTGTTTGTAGCAACTGCTGTGTGTGAGCCATTGAAGTTTGGTGCTGTTGCCACCTTCTTTTCAGGCTGCAGAAAGTCTTTTTAAGAGGATGTGGCTAAATCACTGCTTTTTTCCTAGTCCATCTGGTCATGAGTATGTATGACACTTAAGATCACTAGCGGATGTTGAATACCGAGTACTCAATAAACACAGACTGGACTGTTTCCATCCTCAGCTCAACCCACACAAGGGAAAATGTTTCTTTGCCTTCCTCTCTCCCCAGTTTCTACAGAAATCCTTGTTCCCTTTACTGATTTCCATAACCACAGAACAAGTTTGGAGATCAATGTGTTTTTAAGCTTTGAACCTTCTGAATCATGGTTTAGGCACAAATTCTCCATACCTCAGATTTGCAACATGTAAAATACAGTTCTGTTAATTAATCCTTTGACTTAAGGGATGTTAGATATTGCCTTGGGGTTTTTGGAAGACACGAAGCAAGACAGAACTGGCCCCTAACAGTGTAATTAGTCTAAGAACACTGGATGAGTTAATAAGTTAAATGCCTAGGAAGCATAAAATTCACATCCATGTTAAATATGAACATGCTCAATATTATACTCGGGGAATGACTTCAAGGTGGAAGTTTTCATTCTTACAAACGTTTATTTTCCTCCAAATTTATTGTGTTTTTCTGTAATGATGTGAAAAATCTTCTTTTCCCTTTTCCCCAGTGTTGAGGTTCAAAAAGCCAGATCTTAACCAGAAACTAATCTTCATCTCTTCAATGTCTTGTATGTTGATTTAGTTTCATATGTAAGTATTTATATTAGTTTTCCTCAGGGATTTATACATCGATATAGATATATATATATATTCCTACACAGATATATACAAGCTTTTTATCCTCATCTTACCACTTGACAATACAACTTTAAGTATGTTTTACACAGCTGTTCCTTGGTCAAGGTCATTTGCAAGAGCAAGTCGGTTTCTGAAGAAATCTTGTTTGGTGGGTGAAGGATCCATTGAGGGATTCTCATTAGTTTTTTCCCTGTATTCTGATCCACTGGACCTAAAATCTCAGCACACAGATAAAGTACAGGTTGATTTGGTTTTAATTGTTTTCAAATATTTTATCTATCCCAATTGTTTTGCATTTGTAAAACAGTTGCTTCCTAGAACTGGAATACTTTTTACTCCCCTGAATTTCATGACTCAGGACATGTGTATCTAAGATTTGCATTGAACATAAAGAGAATATCTTTCTAATGCTTTATGGGGACAATTGTGACAACTGTATATGTCAGTGTAAGATATTGTGTAATTACATCATAATAGGGGAACAAAAGCTCAGAAAATTCAAGAAATCCTGTTTTTGATTCAATGAAGTAACAACTCCACAAATTACCAAGGACCTTAAATTAAAATGGATGGAAATCATGGTTCTCAACCAAGGTTATCAAGGACCTTCACTGAATTTGGCATTACATTACAAACTCTTGCTTTTGTTTGTTTTCATTTGTAAATGAAAGATTTATTGAAGCCAACCACACATATATGCTACATTTGGTAGAATGCAGAAATTCATACAGTAATCAGATTGCAGAGATACTATAATCTCAACCACCACAAAAGAGACCAAAGCCAATCAATAGTCAACAACTCAAATCAGTCCATTTGAGTCCCCAGTCGAGGGTGCATTCTTCCTTTATCTTGGTTAAGCCACTTGGGTAATCCATTCCAGCTCTGCACCTTCTCCAGTTTTCTCATGTCAGAAGTCCCTGGAGGGAGGAGGCTTTCTGGAAATAACCTCTGAGAAGCTAGACTGGGGTCCTTTGCCTAGCTTAAACTCTGACCTAGAATGGGTAAAACTAGTCCAGACACTAAGAACCAATATCAAAAAACCTCATGCAGGGTGTATGAAAGTGATGTTAGACATGAAGTTGCTTGCCCAAAGCTCCTATACAACTGATCAAGTTCTCCATATGCTGAGGCTGTCAGGGATGCTTCTACTATCCACCAAAGAAGGATCCATGGCCTGCGAGTCCTTGCACTATCATTGGTTTGCTACTGTTGAGTCCTCACTCTTGTTATTAGATAAGTTAATCATGACTCTCATTTACTGAATTAATGGGCAGAATTCAAACATCTCTTTACATTATTCAAGGAAAGAAGTTGGATCCACAAAGACTAAAAACCCTAACATCTGAAAACCTGATGACTGACTAGATATTTTCACTTTGTCCCCTGATATTCAATATCACAGATGAAGCCATAGCCGCCCACCATGCTTTCTACTTCTGGTTGGTAAGGAACACCTTTCCACTATATCCCAGTGCAGAGAGGAAAAACTATTCTGTCTCTCAACTCCAGTACATCTGGGTACTCATCAAGCAAGATATCTGGGTGGGATGAGGTTCTCTTCCTTTTCAGGAACGCCCCTGAGTTCTCCCTTGAAAGAGCCTCCACATGGCCCACCCTAAAACTCCAGGCCTTCTCTCATCTTTCACAGATCCCCCTACCTCCAGTTCAAATCATCCCTGATTAGTGCAGTTGTGCCCCAAATTTAGGAAGATATATTTTTGACCATCTCATTCTTTCTCTATGTCTTCCATTATTCAGAAGGCTAGGAATGCCTATGTTTCAGGGGCAGGAAGTTGGGGGCAGGATTTGAATTGGGCTGCTATTTCTTCTTGTTCCCCCACAGGACAGTTACTCATCAGAAAGTCATTAGTCAAAACTTGAAATCTTTGCCTCATATTTCCCCTCTTAGCTACATCTGGTCTATCCAAAACCCAACATGTCACACTTTGATGGTTCCAACATGCAACTGTTTAGTGTTTACCTGAAAATAGGAAAGCTTTGATGTCACCACCAGCCCCAAGGACCACAGAAATCTTCACCAGTTGCGTTCCCATTTCTGAAACAAATGCCAAAATCGCCCTGTCTAGTTTTCAAAGTCCACAAACTCAGCTTAAATTTTTTTAACTGCTCTTCTCACAAATTGTACCTTCTCTATGTCTCCAGTATCTAAATTTCTCTGCATTTCTTGATATTAATTAAACTAACAGCTAAATTGCTCATCCTTTTCGAAATCCAGCATTCTACTATAGCCATGACTAAAAGCTCATTTTCATCCTTGTAAAAATCATTTTATAACTGACCTCTTTATAATGCTTACATGTATATGGCCACCTGAACTCTTCCAAAGGTATGGCCATTAGGCTCTTAAGTAGTGCATACCTAAAATACTAGGAAATAACCTGCAGGATCAAGGAGAAAAGGCCAGCAGATTTGCTTTTATTCCCTTTCTCTATAAAACAGAAATGGCTTTTGAGCTCCTGGAGCCCTGTGGCTGATTGCAGGGCATATCTGAGCAGACATTATAGGGACAGGCACACTCGTTGGGGAAGGGTACAATGGCTGCCAGGACACACTGACACATAACCATCCAAGTATTTGATGGAAAGAGGAAAAGACAACAGACCTGTTGCTAACTTTTCCTTTCATTCAAGTGACAAAGAAAATAGCACATTGAGTAGGTCATACTAAGTCTAGATTTGCTATAAATAAACCCTGAAAGCTTGTTTGGAGCTGGGGATGGGGGTAATTGAATCCAGTGCTGCAAAAACCTCTGACTTAAGAAGGCTTGGTTCTCTGATTGGAAAAACTATCCTCCTTGAAAGCTTTAGGAGACATGCATCTGTCTCAAGAAATAAAGGGGCAAGGAAACACCCATCCTGTCGGCCAGTCAGTCAGCCCTGGTAATCAAAGCAACAGCCCTGTGCCACTCCACCTTTACTTCCACTCAGACAACACTTCAGATTTTAAATACAAAGGACAGCACCAGTATCGTGGAGGCAATCTGATTGATGGAGGAGGGACTGATATATGAGAAAGGACAAGAGGACTAAAGGAATCCACTGGCCCTTTACCTAAGGAGAATCCCAAACAGCTGCAAGAGGACTGACAGCAATTAACCAACATGAGTTTGGAGAGCCCAAAGCAAACGAGCATTCATTTAATAAATATTTGTTGAGTGCCTACTATGTGCTACATACTATATCTTGTATTAATAGTTAGGTTACCCTTAAATTGATCTGTAAGCTCCTAATGGGCAGGAACTATTTCTCTTACATCTTTTGTGCTGGACAGAACCTAGTATATTGAAGACCCTTAACTGAATGGTTGATTTCGAATGGCTTATTGAGAAACATTTGTAATTAAGGTTAAGTAATCTAAAATGTTTACCCCTTCAACTATCCCCTTTAATGTTAAAGTTATATAGGAAATGAAATGGAAAAGGAGAGAGAACTCCAAAGTGGGTAAGAGTGGGAGAGGGACTTGAAATGAGCTTTTAAGGAGACAGAGAATAGGCGAGATAAAGTTATCAATGGATTCTTTAGCAGCCCTGCTTTCTATTACATGATCTGTTCAACAGCTGAGGCTGGGCATGTACAAAAACTGCTGGGAAGACACCAAAAGAAGAGGATTCACTGAGATAAAATGATTACATACGGGGCCCTGTGAAGTACTCCCTCTGTGTGTGATTGAGAAAATAGACAGTGATGGGATTGATGGAGGGTGATGACAAGAAGGGAGACACTCTGATGCATGTAAATTTTAAAGTGCTAAAGAGGAAGAGAATGAGCAAGGAAGTAGAATTAATCATTTGGAAGCCATATTCCTTATCTTCCACTATCCCGAAATTTGAGGATAAAAAGAGACAGAGTACCATCTACATTCCCTACACCTAAGCTATCTCACGTGATCCTCTTCCCCACTGTCACATCTGCCATCAAGAATACACGTTAACGTAAGTGTTGCAAGATGTATCTATTGAGATGAAGTATCATTTGCCTCAGACTTCACAATAATCTAGGCTTAAGTCTTTGACAGCCTCTGTATAGATCCTTCTAGAATGGGACAGTTTGCCTTCCATCCTGTTCAAAGGCAGGGGAATAAGTATCAGTCTAGCTAACATCAGCCTACCACAGTTAAGTCTGTTCCCTCTAAGAATCCTCATTTAAAATGTTTAAAATCACTTAACATTTCCAAACTTTGAGATATGTAGCCTTTATTCTGATCAATTCTGGGTACCTTTCAGGGACATGTGACCTTGTATCTGCCCAGGACAAATGTGCCTGAGATGGAAACAATCAGAAGGTCATTCTTTTCCCCAAATATTGTGGGTATTTTTCAGGATTTTTTTAATGATGTCAACTTGACTCTCCCTTTTGAATCCTTGTGGGTATGAGCCTTCGGCCCTCCCAGCCTCAGAGGGAAGAGAACCCTTTCTCAGGTTTTCTGTTGCATCTGGCTCCATGCCTAGCTTCATCCCGAAGCAGCATTCTGGGTGTGTGGGGCCACCAGCCAAACAAGCCCCTATGGAACAAAAAGTGTGTCAGTGTAGACAGGAATGAGCCTCCAGAGGGCTGTGGGGGAGGAAGGCAGCGAGCCCCAGACACGACACAAGTGGCTTTGCTGGCACTGGCCCATTTGGACCTGTGAGACCAGGCTCTACAATGGCTCCAGTACTCAGGATTGGCCACTTCTTAAAGTCCCAGGGCTTGCTGCCAGCCTGACCTCCTGACATGCAGGAGGAAAATGGGCTGAATGTCTCTTCTGGTTCCTTCCTATAACTGTCCACAGGCCTGACTTCAGAGTGCAAGTTCCTGTGTAACGGCTGGGACTATGTCGCTCATGATTCCTATACAAGTGTCTTGCATAGTGCATGCATATAAGATCGAATGCTTAATTGATGAGAAGAATGGTGTGTTCTCATCTGAGTTAAAAGCCACTGCCCTTCCTGTGCTACACTGGGGCCTCCCTGACCTTCCTCTCTACCTTATAATGGAGCAAATTTTCCATGGTCCTCATATGAAAACACTCAGAAAACGCTACTTAAGCTGCCTCTTCAACCCATGCAAAGTCTCCGAAGTGCCCACTGCAGCACCCTAAGCACCTGATGGTACTGACTGCCCTAGGCCAGATCTAAAAAGCCAGGAAAACCTGCCAGACTGACAGTCATCTGTGTGGCTCCACCTTTACTTCCACTCAGACAACACTTCGGATTTTAAATACAAAGGACAGCACCAGTACTGGTGGCGGCAACGTGATTGATGCAGGAGGGACTGATCTATGAGAAAGGACAAGAGGACTAAGGGAATCTACTGGCTCTTTATCTAAGGAGAATCCCGAACAGCCACAAGAAGACTGACAGCAATTAATCAACATGAACTTGGAGAGCCCATAGCAAGTCCTCTACATTATACCAAGGTCGGTGGGGAGCTACAGAAAGCTAAAGCCTGGTCTTCTACATGCTAGGGCTTTAAAATTATAGGTCCGAAGGCTTCATTAATTTCTTGTTTCAGGTGATAAAAAGATGTGATTACTCAGATCAAGCTACAACAAAGTCAAACTACAGATAAAGCAAATATCCACACTAGAAAGGACTCTGGTGATTTCTTCAACAATCTCCCACTAGATGCAGGGACCACTTTCATAGCATCCCTGACCAGAAGCGTCTCATGAATCCATTCCCTCAGGCCGTAGCCAGCTCCAGTTCCATGTAGCTGCATTTTTAAGAAATTCTTCCCCTTAGCCACTGCTCCCAGTTCTGCCCTCTGAGTCCAGAGAGGACAAATCCACTCCCTCTGCCTCATGTCACTGGTAGAACATTTTCTTACATCTCTCTGATAAATAGGAATTTGGTGAATCTATTGCTCATTGCTTTCCAACGGACAGCACCCAGTCATTATAAATGACAGTGGGCAAAAAATGGCTGTTTTGGGAATACTGTAGTTAAAAAAAAAAAAAAAGCTAGGCTCAAGCTGTGCCCTTAGGATTGTGCAGTCCTTAGAAGGATTCAGGAGTCTGGCCGGCCATGGTGGCTCACGCCTATAATCCCAACACTTTGGGAGGCCAAGGCAGGTGGATCACTTGAGGTCAGGAGTTCAAGACCATCCTGGCCAACATGGTGAAACCCCATCTCTACAAAAAAAAAAAAAAATAGCCGGGGGCTGGTGGCAGGCACCTGTAATCCCAGCTACTCGGGAGGCACGGGCAGGAGAATAGCCTGAACCCGGGAGGTGGAGGCTGCAGTGAGCCGAGATTGCGCCATTGCACTCCAGCCTAGGCAGCAGAGCCAGACTTCATCTCAAGAAAGATTCACGAGTCTAAATCCCAAGGGTGGGATGGAGAAGTGTCTGTTTCCAGGTTCTCCCACCCCTGTCAATTTGACAGATGTTGGCACTGGGTCAAGAAAGATGTAAGTCTATGATCCTAGAAAGAGGAATACAATTCTCAATTCTTCAAACCCTGAATAAGGTGGGTTGAGGATCCTGCAACAGCATGCAAGCATGCACTGGGTTCCTTAGCAAAACTGAGAGAGAATGCAGGGCTATGGCTAAGTGCAGAGCTGTTGCTCTTCCTTCCTATTCCCCCTTCTCCAGTAACAAGAGGCAGAGACCAACAGTCAGAGGCCCACCAATCTCAGTACCACCCTCCCCACAGGAGGATAATTACAATGAGACAAACCAGCAAAAACAAAGTCCTCACTCCAGGGCTGCCCCCAATTCCTCCATCAGGACCATAGTCTAAATCAGCCAGTGACCTCAACCTTCAAGGAAAAGGTGATTTCCCTGTGCTTCCTCACTTATCGGCAACTCTCCAAAGGCAGCAATAATGCCTCTGTTTAACTTTTCCATCTATAAAATATGAACACTTGTTATTTAAAACTGACTGCAAGAACATCCTCCACCAAGAGTAACTAAGCAGCAGGAGAAATCTAAGGGAGAGAGAGGTAGGCTGAGCCAGTGGAGATTGAACCAGCAGTCTCTCAGGCAGGCAGTGGCTGGACTGGTAAATCCCTCTACGGTCAAATGCTAATGCTCACCTCTCTCTTCCTTATATTTTATGCTGGGGCGTGGCCACTGCCTGCTAGACTGTAAGACAGTGCTGACCAAAATGTCTGGTGGATGATGTTTAAACAACAACGACCTAGAATCTCAGAAGGCCCACAGGAGGAAAATGCCTTGTTTTTGCCTCCTATGGAATACAGAAACTCCATTAAAGTGATTTCTAACTAGGGCCAAGCCAAATCCACTCATTCAGGGAAAGCACTAACAGAAGTCCCAATAAACATGAATTAGCACCCAGGATGACAACAGGCCCCCAAATGCAGACGTACTGAGATCCCTTAGACAACTTTCCACAGATGGGGAGATGTGATGGAGCACCCAGGACACCCAACCCCAATAGCGGATCCCACTCCTCCCAGTCTAAAGGGGCTTTGATTGTCACCAGCTCATTTCTCAAGGGAACCACCTCTGCCCACTCCTCTTGGGACATATGACTTTGGGAACAAGGAAGAAGGGATAGAAGACAGAAGAGGCAGGGCAGACAGCTGAGTCTGCTTCTACTCTGGGAGATTACAATGAGAAACATCTTCACCCCGCCAGAATTGTGGCTACTGGGTGCAGGCACTGTACTTGAAGCAGTTGTGTGAGACCAGGGTACTTGATACTTATTATTGTTAAAACCTCAAGATTGAGCCCAAAGGGAAATGAGTTACAAGGCTGTCTTGTCTAAGGGCTACTCACTTCTTTTTAAAGAGCTTGCGGAAGGAGCTGCGAAAGCCCCCTTTCTGGTCTTGCCTGGGATTCTGATCGCTGAAAGACGTTTGTTCACTTTCTCTTTCTTCTTTGGGACAGAATCTGGTAGTATCTTCTAAATGCATCTCCTGGAAACAAAAAAGAGGGATTTTTTTCTTTACTCCTTTCCAACGTTATTATGGATCCTGACTATGGGACAATTCTGTGGTGCTGTGACTTTCCTCTCCCATGCCAAAAGATTACCAGTGGGCACCCAATCCCAACTAAAGCAAACCTAGGCTAATGAAGAAACCAGTAGGTGAAAAGAGGATAATTTCCTGCCGAGTGTAGTATTTTCTATGTATCAAGGCAAATAGTCTAGTGTAATATATAACAATAATTAAAGATAAGGAAATAAAATTAGCTAATGTTTAAAAAGAAGACTGCAAGAACATCCTCCACGAGTGAATAAATTCTTATTTTGACACCAACCCTGTCGTGCTAGAAAACCCTCATATCTCCAGGTGTTTCTCTTTCTACAAAATAAGGATGCTCCTTACTTGTAATGCTAGTTTTAAACTCATATTCCTAACTCTCCATTTTAAGCATAAATGAGGGAAGGCATTTTTGAGAAGTCAGACCTGTTTAGAAGAAAATGTCAACTAATACTTTCAACCTGAAAATGTGCCTGTAATACAGTTTTTACAATTCTTAACCTATGCTATTTGGAGTATAAAGTAAAATAAGTTAAAAATAAGGCTGCATCTTTTGTGACCTCTCTAGTTTTTTAAGTGTGAGATGTGCTAAATAGAAGTGCATGTATATTTATATGCATACAAGCCAGATATGCACTTATATGTTTATATTCCATATGAACAAAGTATTCACCTTGAGGTGACTATAATTTAAAAGCAACTTTAAAAACAGCTGCTGAATTTTGAATAACCTTTAGAGAACCCCAAGTAGTCAAAGCAAAAACCACACCAATGATGCCCTAGAAGTCTCATGAATTAGATGGGTGACTGCTTGCTGACAGAGAAGCAAAGTGTGAGGATGGATTTTTTTTTTTCCCCAGAAAACATATGGGTCTGACTTTGAGGACTGGGGGTTGCAGATATAGAAATTCTCTGAGATTCTACTAAGATTCATAACTAGACCATGGAGATAGACATGCAGTGTTTCTTAAAGTGTGGTCCCGCCACTACAGGATCAGGTTGGGCCTTTATTTAAAAGGTAGCTTCTTGCGCCCCATCCCAGACTTTCTGAATCAGAATCTCTGCAGTGAGGCCTAGGTAATCCTTACGCACACTTAGATTTGAAAACGAATGATTTAAGGGAGGGGTCCCCAACTCCCAGTACTGGTCTGTGACCTGTGAGGAACTGGGCCACACAGCAGAAGGTGAGCAGTGGGGTGGGTGAGCAAGCAAAGCTTCATCTCTATTTATAGCCGTTCCCCATTGCCTGCATTACTTCATGAGCTCCACCTTCTGTCAGATCAGCAGTGGCATTAGATTTTCACAGGTGCACAAACCCTACTGTGAAATGCACATAAAAGGGATTTGGGTGCCCACTCCTTGTGGGAATCTAATGCCTGATGATCTGAGGTGGAGCTGAGACAGTGATGCTAATGCTGGGGAGTGGCTGAAAATACAGATTAACATTAGCAGAGAGGTTTGACCGCACAGAGACCATAATTAATCAATTGCTTGCCGACTCATATCAAAACCCTATCAGTAAGTGGCAAGTGACAATTAGGCTGCATCTGGTGGCAGGCTTTATAATGGCAAGTGAGTTGATGAATTTCAATGGTACAGCTGCATCTGGTGGCCTTAAAAGTAGGTTTGAGACCATTTCAAATCTCCATACGTTCTGGATTAAAGTCAAGGCAGAATGTCATGAGATTGCCACAAAGCACTGAAAAGCCCGCTTCCATTTGCAGCATCCGATCTTTGTGAAGCAGGGTTTTCTGCAGTCACAGCAACCAAAATGAGATTACAGAGTAAACTGGACATAAGTGACACACTTTGGGTGTCACTCTCACCCATCACCCCCAGATAGGACCGTCTAGTTGCTGGAAAACAAGCTCAGGGCTCCCACTGATCCTAGATTATGGTGAGTTGTATAATTATTTCATTATATATTACAATGTAATAATAATAGAAATAAAGTACCCAATAAATGTAATGCACTTGAATCATCCCGAAACCACCTCCCCCTCCGCAGCCTGTGGAAAAACTGCCTTTCCCAAAACTGGTCCCTGGTACCAAAAAGGTCGGGGACCACTGACTTAAGGCATGCTTCTGCCCACCTACACTTAATGTTTATATCAATCACCTGGGAATGATCCGAAATTCTGATTCAGTAGGTCTGGGGTGCAAATTCTGCATTTATAACAAGTTCCCAGGCAATGCATTTGCTACTGCCCCCAAGGACCATATTTTGAGAAATGCGCTTTTAGAGACTATTTAGTGACTAAATCTAGTAATGGTTTAAGGAAAATCTTTCTATGGAACCATGATCTCAATAGCATTTCATACTTTATAAAGCCTACTCAAAAACTGTATCTTCTTTGGCCTGATCCTCCCAACAACCCTGTGAGACAGGTTGTCTTATTTTGAGATAACTGGAGGCACAGAGAAGCCAAGTGATTTGTCCAAAAGCACCCAGCTACTGGGCAGCAGAGCCAGGACTAGAACCTAGATCTCCTCACAGTCATGTGTTCTCACTAGAGCATACCATCTTCTTTCTTGACTCTAAAAGAGACAGAACACTAAAGACTAGGCCTCAGCGGGCTCTGCTGGGCTGGGTGAAAGATATACAAAGGGATGAAACACTAGGGGTTTTGCACATCTCAAAAGCAAAGAGTTGATACCTTTAAGGATAGAGTTTTTGAGGGATTTATCTTTTGCAACTAAAACCCCATCCCACCACCACCTCCAACACACACAAACATGCACATATATACTTAGACATGCAGACATGCACATACATGCTCATGCACATATGTATGCCCACATGGTCTCTGCCCACCTGCACTCTGCATGCACCCTCTCTCTAGGACTCCTAACAACCAGGCCATTTTAAGTTTTTAGATAGAAAAATTGTGTCCAGAAACAGAAATTAGTAACGGGAACTTTGCATGCTTGAAAATGTTAATGCTATTGCTAGAGAAAATGCCTCTCTTAACTGACTTCCATCTGACATTTCCTTGGTATCTCATTTTGAACTGACTTGACGCATGCCTGACACTGTTAGGAGATGAAACTTGCTGTCCAGTATGTGCAATTAACAGTTCCTGACACACTGTTTATTGTTATTTGGTATGTCTGGTAAACAGCCACAAATATATTACTCATTGTTTGCTTCTCAGATATACTGTTATTTCTGATTAATGGTTTTTGCCTTGCAATTGTTGAACCCCAAATTTTTCACAAATCAACTACAAAAGGACATTGCTATCACATATGAAATAAAAGTTCTTTACAGTACAGACTATACTAGTTAGAAGTTTTGTATGTAAACCTCTGCTCATCCTAAGTCACACTGAACTGGCACTATAATTTCCATTTACTTCCCCTTTCAATAAACTTCTAAACTCTGACACATGCCTAAGATTGATTTCTCCAAAAAGTTCTGCCTAATCAAATTTTACGAAGCTTGGAGTTGAAAATCAGAGCTACAGGAAAATCTGAGAACCCCAGGGAACCTCAGCAGCTTTGGCTGAGCACACTACCACGTTTTTGTCCTCTGCAGGAACCAGACACAGACTTTGCTGGAGTGCAGGTGGGCAGCAAGCTCCAAGGCTCTTCATGATCCCGCCCCTTCCTGTTCCTCTGGCCTAATTTCCACCACTCTGACCTGGCACAGTATGCCAGAGAAAAGGCATCACCCAGTTTTTCTCATGCTTCCCTACCTCACTCTTCCCCTAGCCAACTTCTAGGCAGCTTTTACAATCTAATTCAGACATTCAACTTATCTAGGAGGCCTTCTCTGACCACCATGACCCCAAAGGTTTTAAATATCCCTCCCATGTGCTCCCACAGTTTATTACACAATCCTGTGTTCCTGTGTCTCCTTCCTGTACTAAGCCAGGGGCCCCGGAGGATAGAGACTGGTTTATTTCTGAATGTTCAGTAATTAGCACAGAGCCTGGTACAAGACAAGCACTCAGTGTTTGCTGAAAAATGAATGAATGAAAAAAGTCAGTGATCATCACTGTTTCCATTCGAAAATGAGAATAGTTGGACCGGAAGGGTGGTCGCACAGGTCAGAGCTATCATGTTACTTACGCTCTGCTTAATCAGATCAGAGCAATTATTTGCTCAGAAACTATTAGCATCTCCTGGATAAGTATTTAAAGACCTCTTTAAATACCCTCCAGGCTTGCAGACACCACAATTAGATATCAAAATATCAAACACCGGTAGACCTGCAGACACAGATGTTGGCCATCAAAATACCTCAACATTCACTGAGGCCAAAGAAGGTGTTTCTATTTTGGGATGTCCCTGTCCCAAAGAAGTTTTCAAATTAATAGGACACTTTTTTCCAGTCAAAAGCAAAGCAAGCAGAAATAAAGCTGGCTTTGCAGCAAACTGCGCAGCGAGTCTACCTTGAGCTAGGGCAACTTGCCTCCTCCCTAGCTACAAGCAAGAATGCTGCCCGGAGGAAGTGGGGTACGCTGGGGCGCCGTGTTCCATATTCTCCACATAGAAACGACACCTCACAGGGAGAAGAAACACACTGGCCGGGACCTGCATGGCGTGCAGTGCTCCGAAAAAAGCGCAACTCTTAACATAAGCAGGAAGAGATTCCCCATAACTCCCTAAATGTGTGTGTGATAAATCAGGTCTAAAGAGTCACGGGCTTCTCTGCTACCTCTGCCGTCCCTCGTGTACCTTATGAGGAATGCTCTTTGGGTCCTGGTACTGGAGAACAGACGCTGCCACTTGCCTTCCAGGGCCCAGCAGTCTACAGCTTGTAGGGCGCGGGGACTGCCCCTGCTCTCCCTCGGCCTCCGCCTCCGCCCG